CACGGATGAAGTGTCAGCTCACATACCGAAGGCTAGATTGTCATTTACCAACTTGAGACATCTGTGACGCCGTCGCGACATCCGGTTTTTATGAAGGGTTGAGTATATGCCACAGCAGTTCGGCTAGTTCTGCCATATGGAGCATAAACTTGGTNNNNGAGCAATGCTGAGATTAGGCATAGAGTTTTAGGCAACCGCAGTCTCTCATTGAAGCAACTTCCATAGATTACGTTGGTTGGACATGTGTTAGGCATATCACCAAATAGGTCGCCACGACGAGCGATTTTCGCCGAGGCAGGTAGTGCATGGCATAAAGCCAAGGATGGTCAAACTAAGACCTGGTATGAAGGTGTGAAAACCCTAATCAGGAGTCTGGATCACACAGATCCTATTAGATTCCGTGGATGGGGATATCGGGATCGTAGTAAACCAAGGTTAGAGACACTGAGTAATATGACTGAGTGTCGTAAACAGTGGCGTTCGTGCATCTTCTCAAATTCTTTGTAACATTAATTGACTGAAATTCTAAATTTTCTCTTCTATTCCACTTTCAACCTCTCCTGTCCTTCTCCTACTATTCATCCAAATGAGCAGCTAAAGGACCACAATCAAAACCGGTGCACAAAAGTGCATGGTTAATGTTTGTTCGAACTGATCTGAAGTGAACCCTGAATGAGCGAGATTATCTTTCCCCTGTACCTAATGCTGAGTCGAAGAAACCACCGATCACCTTTTGCGTGTAAATTTCTCAAGCGGGTACAAAGTAGTGCTCGTTAGACAACCGTTCCTTTTGTTATCCTTTTCGTCGAAATAGACAATCCGAGCTGCATCCCAGCTGAGCTGACACCGATTATTATTACACGTTGGATGCATACTGAACAATTTGGTGCATTTGCCTTTCGATCAAAGCGCTCGAACGTCTGTGTTATTTTTCACCAGACTTGTGAGAACTTCCGGTCATTAGGTTGTGATTGTCCGCTGTCATGAAGCGCTCTCTTGGTACAGGAATAACATGTCAGATACTTACCCACAACTGTCTGAAAGCAAGAAGTTTCCTCTTTTTCGATTGTGGTTGAACCATGCCATTGTAGAACTCAAAAACCCAATGCAGAGCTGACTCTTTTTTGTCCAGCGGTCCTGAAAGCATCACATGTCTGTCAATAGGTTCAAGGCATACAGCTAACGGCGTGCTGATTTGAACGGATGACCACAAGATAGCAGAGAACAACATCCGCATAACTGGTTCGTCATACTTCAGTCATGGCCGAGGTGTCCAAATAATGTTATAAATTACTGACTTCATTCCCATCACTAACGGTCTACAACTTTTTATCATGTCGAAAATGGCTTATAAAGCGCTTCATTAGCCAAACTATATGAAAAAATTGACTTTAACCATAATTAGGAAGAGCACTGTTGCGGCGCAATCTCAAAATGGAGATGGCAGTCTTTTT